CCCGCCTCCCACCATGCCCCTACCCATCCCCACTCTTGTGCCCTTACGATATACTCAGTGGTTGCTAAGGAAACACAGTGCCCGTGCCTGGTTGATATGGAATTTTCTGGCAATGTGTTTTTGGGGTGTGGGATGGGAGTGGCTGTTGAGGAGCCTTGGTGTGGCCTTGTAGACACCCTCATCTCTCCACAGCTTTGTGGGAGTTCTAGGCAGCTGGCCTGCACCCCAGGAACATGTCCTGGGGAGCTGTGTCCCCGTGACAATGGCACCGACTGTGGCTCCCACTGCAGAGGGGCTCTGCACAAAGCGGGCGGGGCCTTCCGGACTGCAGGGCAGGTGGCTGAGCGGCTCCGGGGTTTCAATGCCCAGCTTCAGCAGACCCGCCAGATGGTAAGTGTGGCAGGGTAGGGTGGGCACTCTCAGGAGGAGGCGGAGAGAATAGGCCCCACCAGGGCACAGTAGAGTTCCCGTTTTACACGGCGGGCAGGGGGGTGGGTGGGGGGGGTGGGGGGTGGACACCTGAAGTCCAGCGATGTGAGCTGACTGGCTCTAACCCCTCAGTAAGGGAGAGAGAACATTGGAGGCAATGCACTGGCCTTTGGATGTGATGCCCATGCACGGTCAAGCCGGGTTAGTCCTGATGCAGCCTAGGCAGGCCCTGGGGTAGCCCATGGCGGCCCGCAGGATCTGTGGGTGCTCCTGAGAGGCTCTTCTTGGGACGGAGCCTGTTCCTGATCCAAGTGCCTGTCTTCAGATCCGGGCGGCCGAGGAAGCTGCCTTGCAGATCCAAACCGATGCTCAGCTCCTGGAGACCCAGGTGAGCACCAGCCGCTCCCAGATGCAGGAAGGCATCAGCCGAACCCGGCTCCTCATCCAGCAGGTCCGAGACTTCCTCACAGGTGAGCCTGGCCTCTGCCCTCCCCTCCCTGATGCTTGCTCCTGGCCTGCTCCCTCAGTTCCACGTCCTGCTGGCTGCTCTTCCTCTTTACACGTCCCCTGATCCTGTCCTTGGTGGGAGCACTGCTGTGGCCTTCTGAGGAGCCTCCCCAGCTCCCGTCCTGTTCCTGCGCCTTACCTCAGCCTAATAGCTCGAATCAACTTTGTCACGTGCGCATTTCCTGCTTACCTTCCTCCCAGGACTTCACCCTCTTCTTTGAGTTGGATCCCATTCTTTGCCTTGCCCTGCATGGTCTGGCCTCTGCCCACCTCCTGGTGGGGGCTTTGGGCTCTTCCCCACCTTCCCTCTTTTGATTCCCTAACATGCCAAGTTCCCGCCCGCCTCGGGGATGTTAGCCGGCTGTTTCTCTGTCTAGAATGCTTCCCCAAATCTACTGCTGCCTGCCCCCGAGGCCTTCACTGAAATGCCATCTCCTTCTCCATCCTTCTCAAAGAGTTCTGCAGAAGGCCCCTCTGACCGTGAAGGCATCATCACACTAGAAATTAATAGCAGAAGGAAAACCAGGAATCCCACAAATAGGAGAAGAGGGGGTGCTTCAAAAAGTTCTTGGGAAAAGTTCCTGATTCTTAAATTCCTTGAACTTTCTGAAAACCATATGTATGTGGATGTTTAGGAATATGTTATTAAACAGTCAATGAACGGGTCAATAAAGAAATCCAGAGAGAGAAAATATTTTATATATATATATATATATATAAATATATAAGTACATATACATATGTATGTATGTATGTACAAGTGCCTTTTCAGGGTCTGGCATTATGCTAGGCGCTGGATGTATAGTGGGAAACAAGGCAATGATCCCTGCCCTCTTGGAGTTTGCAGTCTAGTAGAAAGAAACATGACACTAGTCGATAAACGAGTTTAATAACTGGAGCCTGAGTGTTGTCATAGCAACCCCACCGCACCCCCATATGTATACTTAGACTTGAACAAAAAGGAAAACAGCTTACCAAGCCCCATCCTGTCCCTT